ACAGTCTGTGGACGCACCAACTAAGGTGGGCACATCGGTATCACGCCCTGGTCAAAAGACAGGGTCTTTAAATATAGAGAAAATAAAAGGAGTAAATTTAAAATTAAATTGATAAAAATAGAGAACTGAGGAAGGCGGGGAGTCACTAGCACCCTCTTGGTCTCGCCAGTCGGACCCAGACCCAGGCCCGTCCGACAAAATCACGGGGGATAGTCCCTCAAGACCCTCGACACGCTAGTCTTCATTGGTCGTGTTCCTTCGCTCCATTGCCACGTGCTGGCCTCGAACCCCAACACGTCGCTTGAAAGTCCAGTACTATAACCAATAGAACTAGGTTGAAGGCTGCGTTAAGTAGGCGCGAACCCCCTTATAGACAACTGTGGTTGGGTTCATCGGTTCAAACCGGCCCTTCGCCTTGGCCTTCTGGCCAGTCCCCTGGCCGCCTCATGACGCTGCTTGGGCCTAGGTTCGTAGTCGCCTTGGTACCCTGGCCGTTGGGCACGCCATACACATCGCCGAGAGCTCCCAGCTCACCTCACGCTAGATCCGAAAAACCGTGCCTTTCAAAGCGTCGCCCTCGCATTCTTCCCCCTCGTGCACATGGTAAGGTCCTTATCTTCTTAGTGACGTATCCAGCCAGAGGCCGGACTAGTTGCGACGCAAAGCTAATCCTTAAAAATATATATAACAAAAAATAAACACTTCAGAAAGGAGGGGGTTAACCGGACCCTATGGCTCTGGCACTTTCCTCGGCCTGAAATTACCACTGACTAAACGGTCACAATAATGTGTGCCCCACACACTCTCTAAGTCGATTGTATTTGGTTCGGACTCTCGCCGAAAGTGAGGTTGCCGAGACGAGTGCCCCGACGGGATCTGTCTCATCAGTGCGTTATGTTTATCAAGGACGCACCCAATGCGACCTTTTAAAAACGATGGCAAATACCCTTGTAAGGGTGTTTGCTACGACAACGCGCGTGCATGAGGAGTTCAATTCCCCGCAGACCCGCAGGGAGGGGATGAGGGAAGGGAGGCAGAGGGCTGGGGTTAGGTTCCCTGGGGTTTGTGTCGGCCTCCCCGGGCCCGAATCGGAAAAAAAAAAAAAAGTGAAGGGGAGAGAGAGAGAGAGAGAGAGAGAGAGAGAGAGAGAGAGAGAGAGAGAGAGAGAGAGAGAGAGAGAGAGACGCTGGACCTGGTTTCCTGCAGGTGTCGCTCCCCACCAATGGTGGCAATAGATGGAGCAACCCGACTATCAAATCCTCAATCCTAAAGGTTCTCTTACCACCACTGGGATAGAGGGCTTGTAAAAGGGCTCTTGAAAAAAATAAAAAAATAAAAAAATAAAATAAAATAAAAATTGAATGCGAATGTGAGTCCGCGTTCAAATGCGAATTTGAACGCGAACGCGCGTTCATGGCGCTCAAATGGCTACATAGGTTTTTGGTGCCTGTGCTGAATCAGCATCTTAATTTTATTAATTAATTAATTTATTTTTGTCGCCGTGAAGGTTAGGAGAGTACTCGAGGGCGAAGTATTTAACTGTGGATGGTAATGATTCTGCTACAGCTTGAGCAGATGGAGAAGAAGGGCTGTACGGGCGGGGTATTGTGACGCCAATTTCATGATGTAGTTGATCTGTGAAAGTAAAGCTCAAACTACATTATCATTTGAGTTTATCTCCTAATCCCGTGGGCTGGTAACTTCCGCTCGTATAAGCTGTCTATGGTAGAAAATGCAGATGATCTGTCTCGATGTAAGGGTCTACGTAGGATCTACGGGTTGGTCATTAGACATGAGATGGAATGAACATGTGTATTGGGCTTGCACTAGCAACGTGATTGGGCAGGTGGATAGAAATCATAAGTTTTATTATTATATAGGGGTAAGTACGTTTATGTCACCTTTGAGTATCGAATGGGAAAAAAAAACACAGGTCGGCAAAGAAAACCGCACCGAGTTCGAAAAGGCAACAAAGTACCGACGGGCGTGGTGTCAGACCGGGTGTCATATTTACAGGGGTCGGCCGTGGTGTCAGAGGGGAAAACAAAAACAAAAAAAGAAAATGCCCAATGGATACTTTTGGACCGAAATCGCTCATTTCGAGTTGGCACGTGGTTTCTTTGCCGGCGCGTGTTTTCTTTGCCTTCAGGGTTTCAAAACATTTTGCGTGCACCGTTATTTCTATTATATAACTGGCCAAGGCGCTGTGGTCCAGGGCACTATGTTGCGTTGCCGTGTTTTCGACCAGGAAGGGGCCAAGATGGAGGAAGGGGAAGTGGCAACACAGTCAAGCAATTTATAGAAACAGAAATAAGAGTGCAATGCAAAAAGAGTTCAGGAAAAAACAGCAATTCTCTCACAAAAAGCAGACATAACCAAGGAAATCCATACCTTCTGTGCAGACTGGCTGGGGGGGCAAAGGGATGGCCCAGGTAGAATGGCCTGGGGAAAAGGGAGACGTTTTGAAATTCTTGAAATTCGCGATTTGAAGGACTAGCCTGTTTCTCAACTGTCGGGGCCGGCCGGTGTGATGAAGAAGGTGTTGGCCTGGGAAGCGGGAACGAAGGAAACGGAGGCCAAGGGGGGAACAGCGAAATAACGAAGGAGGGGCTAGTATCATGAAATTGAGGGTCTCAACCATGATAGGCATCGTAGGAGAGACATGAATGTCAGCTACGATGATTCTGACTGAGAATTCAAACTGAGCATTTTTTTGTTGGGTGTACCCCGACCAGTCGCAGCTGGACCTGAGCAGCAACTTCCACTGGCCTGACGCTCCCACATTGCCACGGATTACAGGGCGTCACAACTCACCCCAGCGAGCTACCAGCGTTGACGGGCTCTGGGCATCTTCTTCCTCAGGCCACCGAAAGTGACGCCAACAGGATTACAACCCAGCACCTACGTGCTGCCGCTCAGGCATGAAACCTACTGAGCTAGCTGACGGGACAATGCTTGGTGTGTTGAACAGAATAGCAGCAATACATATGAACTTGTGAAGTATTATGAACCCAGGTACAATTGGGAAACAGCGAAACACTGAACTCAGAGATATTAGATGAAAGCCTGGAAGTATTCTTCTAAGTGACCAAAATTTATATGGCCCTGCGAATAGATATAAAATTCCGTCAAAGTGAAAACTCCTTACCTTCCCCTGGCACCTACAGTGCACTGAGTCTCCTGGTGGTATTGCCTCAACCCACTCGTATGTCATATTCTGTTTCCAACACTCATTTCATAAACTCTCCTGTCAGCAATCTGTCCATACTTGATTCAGCTCTTTTCCACAGGCCCGAGCTGCGCACTCCAGCAGGTCCACTTGTTCGAGTTTTAAGTGTGCTTAGTTCCTCCACTCATATTGGGCATGAAATTGTATATGAATGTTTTTATAGCTGGGACTTGAACTCCTGATCTGTTTAACAACAGCCATATGTATGTACCATTCAGCCAGAGACTCTCATGAATCAGCTAGAGTCTTCCCCCGAACATATTGCAGCCTGATAATGAATGTATGTAAGACTATATGTCATATTCCCAGTCAGGCATAGCCAAAACCTGGTGCGTTGTGTTCGGGGGAAGACAGGTAGTCATTCCTGAACTGTATCGGATGCACAGTTGCCCTTTCTTTGCAACTCTCCTGATAGCCCTCGTCAAATTTTGTTGTGCTGTCGCAGGACCCGTCACAATTGCAGGAAGCTCAGCGAATCTTCAAGGATTTTTGATCTGATGCTCTCGCAACAAGAACGAAATTTAATGAACATGCTTGGAGTGGCAGCTGCAACAGTTGATGAGTCAAATATCTCGGAGAGTGCAAGTTTTGGAAACATGAGAGAAAAACATAAGTTTTGAAAAGTTGAGAGGGAAACATGCAAGATGATGGTAATAGGGCAGAGCCAGAGACGGAAAGTACAAGTGGCTATATATAGTGACTCACTGTGAGTACAAGGGCCTGGTCACACAGCAGTCTATTCTCCACCGTTTATCATGTGGCTGTCCAGAACAGGTTCATTCTAAACTAGTCATCATGGTGTGTAGTGTGGGAAGGCCCTGCCCCGACAACAGAACTTCCCAAGTTGTACCCTTCCGTTCGAGACGGAAGGGGGCAGAAGTTTGGGGGGGGGGGGAGCAGTTATTTGGTGATCTTTTCCTTTTTCCTTCCCACCAAAAGAAAATGAAATAAATTGGCTCACTTTTGTGGACATCGTTCTTTTCCCCGTCTCAATTATGTGTTTCCAGACAAATGTTTCTTTCAAAGGGCGGGACCCCACAGCCGTCTGCTCTTGGAACCCTCTGAAAAGTTAAAACCCAGTTTCCACGGTGGTCTTGGGTGTGTGAAACTTTTCTGAGATCCCACTGCGCTGGCAGTGTGGGACACAGGCAACGGATTTTTTTTTTTTTTTTTTTTTTTTTTTTTTTTTTTTTTTTTTTTTTTTTTTTTTTTTTTTTTTTGTTGTTGTTGTTGTTGTTGTTGTTGTTGTTG